TTCAGTCTATCATCATTGTAAACAAGTCGAGCCAATGTGGTCTTCCCTAGTCCACCCATGCCAACAATGGGAATCACACAAGGGTTTTCATCACCACCTTCATCATTCAACAACTTTTGAAGAATGGCATTTTTGTCGCCTTCCCGACCATAAACATGAGGTTCAGGCAACCAAGTAGTGGCCGGCTCCCATCGTGGAGCTGTTACGCTAGTTCCGGCCTCTTCAACTTTCAAGCCCAGGGCTTCCTTCTCTCTCACAGCACGTTCCAGTCTGCCAGAAATCTCCTTTATCTTGGAAACAGCCTCACAACCAGGGATGAAAACATCGAGATTAAAACCAGTGAAGCACGAGGGAATCAGTTGTCGCGCCTTACTTGTGCAGGGTCTATCAGTTTTGGCAGTCAATTTCTTTCTTCGTTCATCAGCCTCTAGTCCATCAAGGACATCCTCCATATCATAAGCCAAATCTCTGATGTCAGAAAGCCACATCTCCACAGCAGGATTGGCTGTTTGCCTCTTCTCCGCATCATCAAGCACAACCCATATTTTGGGCAAAAGACTCTTCCAATTTTGCAACTCATCACGAACCTGCTTCTGTCGATTCCATAACTCACTGGACTTGGAACCCAACTTGTCCATTAACCACTCCAAGGATGCAGATAGAAAAGCGGTTGCTACCGCTTCCATTGTAAAAATGAGCAAGATATCTACGGTAAAAATGAAGGAATACAAATGAATCATAAAATCATTTAGAAAAAGAGAAAAGAAAAATGTGCCGCGATTGCGGCGCTCTAACTTGAACCATTAAATAAACATAGTTGGTAATGTCAGCACTTCCTTTTATATAATAATTTTTATTTTATAATTTAATATAATTTAAATTACAATATAAATTATAATATATAAAATTTATATGAAAAAAAAAAACTGAAAAAAATAAGGAAATATTTATTTTTTTAAATATTTTACCGTTCGTCTTGTACGCACGGTAAATAACTCAGTCCACGATCCTTGTATACGAACTATGAAATACCAACCTCTAAGATTTTTGGCGAAAAAAGCGGTGAAATACATGGTAACAGTCTCAACTAATTAATAGAAAGTGTATATTTATCATCGTGTCTCTAAAATTTTAATTTAATAACTTATGAAGTAATAAATATATTTTTATTTAAATTTTATATAAAATAATACAAATTAATTTAAATTTAATTAATTAATTATAATTATTTACATAATAATATTATTAAAATAAAAATTAATTTCTAATTTTTTTTTACTATAGAGAAATTTTCGGGAAAGGGGGAAAAGAGGAGCTTGGTATAAAACGCAGGTCATAAAGTCTTAAACACATTCTGCAAGGAAGGAGGATAATAGGCACCGAGTGCTGGATAATTTCTATTAATTTTTACCAAATTAATTATAAAAAAAAATTATTATACAACTAACAAGCAAACCCTTTAATTTAAAGTAGACAACACGCGCGATACGATTTTGTAATCAATTAAAAAAATTTAAAACTCTTTTCCCCATTTTTGCTGAGAAATAACATTAATTAGCAATCAACTCTTTTAATTTTTCTCCTTAAAACTCTTTTCCCCCTTTTTTGCTAAGAAATAAAATTAATTAAAGCGACCGAGAGCATATGCATACATACCTTGGATTTAGCTTTCCTTTTGAATTATCAATACTGGTGGAAATACTGTCCAGAAATGGAAGAACGGGTGCTAAGATGTTGAATACTGTAGCAGAATTTGAAGGAGAGGAGATCAGGCTGATGAAATAATAGTAGAGGGGATTCCCTCAAATCAAAATATGACTAATTCGAGTTAAAGAGTGGAGGAAGAGATGAAGAAAGTGTAGAAAAGGCGAGGAGAGTTGTTGAAATTGCAGATGGAGAAAGACATGAATAGTATGGGAGAGAGCTATAGATGTAGCTGAAATTCCAGAGAAACTCTGTCAAAACCCGTATTTAACGAGGAAAGT